AAGGCTGTGTCTTTGTCTCATGGTGCTCCTGTGAATACCTCTGTACCTTCCGTGTCTGACAGGGATGACCACGTGCATAAGAAACTATTTAAATGAAACAAGAAACAAAAAAAATTAGAAAATTAAACAGCATCAATTGCTCAGTTCAGAATTATATCAACAGTCTTCTCGGCTTCTCGGTGAGTCAAGTGCTGAGCCACCTGGCTGCAGCTTCCCTCCTGCCATACATCCTTCAGAGCTCTGCTGCCTCAGGTCCCAGGAGCTCTGCCACAGCCTGCTGGCGGTAACCCAGGAATTGGGCTGATGCAACATATAGTTTCTGCAGAAAAACATGGAAAGCAGGCACTATAGACCCAGCCCGATCTCCTGACAGACAACAAGGAGAAATTTTGAGAGGAAAGACCCTAGCAGAGCATGCTTGTTGCGTGTGGGCTTAGCTACAGGCAACCAAAGACAACACTGTTAAGTGTAGCTCCAAAAAGTCACTGTTTGTCTAATTAATGTCTTAGCCTAACCAGAATACAACAACTTATTTATTCTGGTTATTATAAAGGTGCCTATAATCTAAATGACTTAATTATTGATAGGAATTAGCAAAACCTAAAATTGTTATATACATGTCTCCCAGAGCTGCACTGTGCTTTGGTGATACTCCCCTGTCCTATGCAACATTAAGGGAGACCATCAGCTTCTCAGATCCTTTACTTGGAGAAGTATGATGATGACAGTGTGTGTTGGGTGGTGGGAAGGGATGGTCTTCCTCCATGCTGTTGAGTTTGGTCAGAATTACTTCTCTGTGTCAACCTTGTATTTCTTAATGGGTTACAGTCTTTCCTCTGCTGTTTGCCCGCAAGCCTTTGTACGCCATGATCCTTTCTCCTTATACAATATAATTTCTTTTAAGGGGGAGATCCATGCAATTGGACAAAATAATGCAAAGCTTAAACTAAAACACATTTAGGAATAATAGAGGTAAAACAAACCCCAAACCCCAGGATAGTGAGAGGCATTTGAACATTCAGTTATTCTGCTGTTACTGCTAGGAGAGGCTAGACAATAGACCTCTGTTCCTTGGGAAAATCATAGGCACAGGAAAGGCTCTTAATTTTACAAACACAATTCAAAATCATCCTAGAGCAGCTATTTATTGTTATACAGCTTGAGGTCTAGCACTAGCATCATCAACAGCAATTTGGCTGGGCTACAGAGCTGCAAGCTGGGGTAAGAGTTCCCCTGACAGCCCTGTGGTCTCCACCAGTCCTATGCTGCCCAGGGCAGTGCCTCTGGGGAATGGGACTGCCCAGGAGTGCAGAGGTAGCATTCATGATGCTACCGTGCCTTCCCATCAGTGGTGGGAGCAAACACTGACCACAGTGCAGGGAAATGACTCAGACAGCAGGGCTGTGCAGGTACACTACATGGTGCTGGGCAGGGCCTCATGCCATACTTGATGTCCATGGAGAAACAATGATGAGGGCAATCAATGAATATGCAGACCTGCTCTAGAGCTGCAGCCACAAAGCTGGGTAGGTCTGGACAGATGAGCAGTGCCAGTGGGCAGGTGTAGCTGAGCCTCTTGGGGCTTCCCAAGTGTGAGCAGTCTTATATTATTTAAAAGAGCTAACTGGGCAGGAGATTCATCTCACCAGTTTACCTCTCTTACATCACTTTTTCCTCCGTCCTTTAGGATTGCAGTCCCCCAGTACTGTCCCAGTCTGTTGCGGTGTTGGTTTTTTGCATTGCTTGTAGGGTACGTGTTCTAGGAGTCCTATCACATTGGTAAAGTTGCCTCAGTGATCCCCTCGTTCCCCAGCCATCACCTTCCCATGAAGGGCTGTGAATCAGCATTGCCTCAAATGACAAGAATTTAGTCATAGGAAAACAGAGAAATGAGGTCCAAGTTCTGTCGTTGTTACATAAACCCCCTCGCTAAACATCTGGAGAACATCTGAAGTTTAACAAAACAGGCCCACAGGCAGAGGCATTTTTGACCTTCCCTGTAATAGAAGAATAAAAATCAAGACTGAAAGGAGGGAAGTAAATATAACCAGAAACGGAAGACAAAATGGGTCCAGCATATTGGGGCTGACTTTGGCCCAAACACCCAACAAGGGGTCCCACGATCCTGCCCGGACAGTGCACAAGCATGGGGAGAGACAAGGCAACACGCCTAAACACAAGGCGTTGGACACTGCTGAAAAATCCGTGCTGGCCCCTGTCTTCTGGGGAAGACAGCTCTTCACCAGGCTCTGTTTAAAACTGTGTTTCTTCTGGGAAAACTAGAATTTAAAGGGAATGTTTAGATTTTTCTCATGGGTAAAACTGACAGACACTCCAGAACTGAGGCTCAGAAACTGACAATTTTTGCTGGTTTGGGATTTTCTTCCCCTTTCAGTAAAGGCAAAAAGCAAGGACATGACTGGGGGGGAACCACACAGAAACAGGAAAAATCCCTCCTGCCACCTGCTTTTTTAGCAAAAGCTGTAAACCAGCCCAAAGTCAGAGTGTGCTTTCTCCAGGTGTCTTTTGCATCCCTGCATTTGACATGGCCCAGCTGAGGTGTGAGGGGGACATACCTCCAGGAGCATGCAGAAGCTGGGAGTGGTGGGGGGAAGCCCCCTTTTCCCAGCCCCCCTTGCTGGCAGCAGTACATTCCACAGGCCAGGCAGCCCTAGCAGTAGGTGAGTAACCCAGGGGCTTGTCCATATCATGTTCTCTTCCTTCATGGATGGTTCATGCCAAGGACTGCAGCAGGCCATTAGGAAACATTTCTTTGCTGTAACAATAACTGCCTTTATCAGGGCAGACATGAAGGCATTTTTTTCCTAACTTTCCATGAAGAGGAGAATGGGACATCCGATACAAACTGCAGGCACCAGCAGAGCCTCCCCAGCAGTGCTCCTCAGACTTTAAAGCTGTGAGTGAGGTGTCCCTGGCACTGTGGGACAGCCAGGGAGCCTAACAAGCATCTCAGCTGAGGTGTTCATCCAGGAGAGAGCATGACTAAGAGGAAGACAAGGAGGAAGCAAGGCATTGCCTCTCCATTACAGAAATGGGACATGAATGTGGTCAACTCTCTGGGGACCATGGGATGTGCATGCATCCACAGTGAAAGGTTGCAACAAGCCCCTGGGATGTACAGGTATGGCCTAGAATCTTCCCCAAAGACAGGCACCCTTTACAGCTGTCTTAGGATGTAAAACAAATGTTTGGGGAGCACTGAGCCTGGCAAAAGCTGGATGAGATGTTTGATACCTCCACCACTAGCCCTGTCTGCAGAGCAGCATCCCCACATGCCTGGCAAAAGAGGTACTAAGGAGAGTTGCTGAACATAAGCAGAAAGCAAACACAGCTTACCTCTTCACCTGATGATCACCATCCCTTTGTACCTGGTCTTCTGGAAACAACAGTACCTACCTTTGTAGGGTTTTTTTTTTTTTTGCAACCAGAAGGCAAATGCGAAGCTGCGTAAACATTTCCCATCCTTTGAGAGCTCAGTGCTCTTCTCATAAAGTTTTTATGCACTATTTAATATATTAAGAAAATTCACAGTATTTCTCAAATCCCTGGCATTCAATAACAGCCAGATTTGCAATGCAAAAGCAGTAGATTTCTTTTCTTCTATCCCTTATGGTTTTACGTCAGAAGTTCTGCTGGAATCCTCTCAGATCCCAGCAACCTCTATTTTACCAAGTGACTTTTTGAACATTTGGAGCCCTTGAAATTAGTGTCTGAAAAACTTCCAACGAGATTGTAGGAAACAATTTATTTGACAAATTTCCAAATGGACAATTTTAGTAAAACACAGGCATAAAATAAAACTAACTCGTACAATGGGTTTTTGGATACAAAGTAAAGAGTTTGGGATGCCGATACCTGGTAATCACTGTTGCTTTCTCAGAAGCGCATGAATTCATAGCAAGAGCACCAATGGAAGCGCTGAAATAAAATCTCACTTGGCCAAACCACATCTGCAGCATGGTCCTGGAAACAACTGTGTAAACACCAAGGGTCCGCATCACCCATGTAGTGATAGCACCTTTGTCAGTATATCCATAGGGTGTGAGTAAAAGACCCTGGCAGATAATGGCAGCCTTTCCCTTGACTTTGCTGGGTTGTGGATGAGGCCCTAATTAAGTATATAGTACAGTTAGTGGGTTTCCCTTGGGCCCATGTGCCTAAATCCTTGATGGTCCTATAGAAATAGGACTCCCAGAGAGCTCACTGGGAATTAGACAGCTTGGCACTTTTGAAAAAAAAAAAAATACAAAAAAAAAATTCCCACTAACTGGGCTCAGAGAGATTTTCCAGAATGGAGCTTGGGCCATAACACAAGTCATCAGGTTGTTCATGAGGTTCCTGGTTTCACTGTAGGACCATGAGATCTGTTAGTGAAGGAGTGCAGCTATATAGCTTCTTCTAGAGCTTCCCCCCTCCCTAATGGCGACTGTCTGTCTTTCATTTGGTCGGTGCCCAGCCTCCCTGCCCTGAATGGGAGTGTCAGCACTGAGGGTTGCTCCACCCCCCACCTCCACCCCAGCCCTGGTAAGTCAGTGCCCCATCCCATGGCACTGGAGGCCAGAGATGCTTTCACCCGGCTTGGGTAATGCAGCCCAGCCCTCCCCCACCAAGCATGGGAGATATGAACCAAACCTGCCAGCCATGACAACAATCCCCTCTCAAAGCTTGCTGAAGTGTTGAAAGTTTCACTTGAAGCACAGCATTGGATTAGGACCATTGTGAGCTGGGCAAGTACTCAGCTGATGTATGAAAGAACAAAGTAAATGAACAAAAAACCCTGTATCTGAAAAAAGCATAATCAGCCTTATGAGACCAGGCTAGTCCTTAGTGGTACAAAATTCCCCATCTTGATTCTTTCTTGGCAAAAACCAGTGGGATGAGGTTGCTATTGGTGTTCTGGCAGCTTATTGCTAGGTGTGCTTGTGTGTGCCTGCTATGGGGAGGGAAAGACAGTCATGGGCAGGGAGGGAAGTTTGAGGCTAACAGAATAGAGATGCAGATGGTGAAGCAGGGGAGAAGAAAAGGGACTATGCACAGCCAGGCTGTGGCACTATGGCTATCTGCATAGATGTAAATTCCTCAGGTTGGTCAAGAACACTGTCAATTTTTTGGTTTTGTTGGTTTTCATTTTTAGGCGAGACAGAAGCAGGCATGGCCTTGACAGAAACCCACTCAGATGCTCAGTCAACAGCTATCTTCCTGGAGACAGTTTGGTAGAAGACGCCACGCAGCAGAGAGGTATAGTCAGGCACACGGAAGAGGTGGCGCTCCCCGTAGACCACATCATAATCTGCACTCTTCCCCGTGACCAGGACACGGATATTGGGCTCATTGGCTCGGCTGCCCACTGCCAGCACATAGATCTCAATGCCAGCCTGCTGAGCTTCCTGCACAACCCTCTCAATGGCCTTCGCAGTGATCCCTTGAGAGTTGCCATCAGAAAACACCAGCACCCTCTTCTTCGCCCCAGCACGGGAGGAACGCTGGTACAGCCCTGTGACATACCGCAGAGCGGCGTTGACGTCCGTGGCGTCATTAATGAACTCCATGTTATCGATGGCTTTGGCGACAACCGTGTAGTTGTACTGGAACTGAGCTTCCACTTTCTGCTGGTTCTTGCCGCTGTACTGGACCACTGAGACACGCACAGAGTCATCGGTAGGCTTGCCAGCCTCCAGGAACCGCTCAGCCAGCCGCTTCACAAATTTCTTGGTGGTCTCGAAGTTCTTGCTCCCCACGCTTGTGGAGCTGTCCACCAGCAGCGTGATGTCTGCCAGCCCGGTGAAGGTGACTGCAAGGGGAAAGTCCCAGCGCTCGTTATGCTGCGTTTCCTCTCCTGGCTTTTCCATGGAAAGCCAATGAAGTCATTGGCTGTCTCACAGGCTTCCTGCCTTGTCAAACTTGGGAAATTCCCACTCTCTGGGTATTTGCCAGCTTGGTTTCCCTTAGCCCATGTGCTGTTCTACACTTGCCCTTTTACCCTTTCATTCCTTCATTTGTTTGGTTTACAACAGGCTGCATTCCCAGGTACTTATGTGGCTTAGATCATCTAATGACTCTTGTTGCTTAAATACAGTGCTGTCCTTGCATGTCTGGGGAACCACTTCAGCTCTCAAGGCTGGCTTCTTTCCATGATGAGTCCAAGGATTGTATATGCTTCTGACTTGGAGGTGTACCCCACTAAATTCCTCCTTGTACTCAGTTTTCAAGCACCTTTCTCAAATATCCCTGCCATAGTGCTGACTTTTCCTTGTATTCCCATCACCACATAGCAATTGATATCATTACCTGCCTCAGCTAAACCCTATGAGGGCTAAAATATGGCATAACTTCCTCTCTAGGTTTGAGGTGCCAGAAAAACAACTGTCTAGGTTTTTTCCCCCAGGTGCTTTGGGCTGGCATGTGTGTGAGAGACCCTGCAAATGTCTGACAAGGCTTGCTCACTTCTCCAGCCCAGGAGCCTCCCTGCTGCAAGAGGTCTCCAAGCTATTCATTCCCACAAACACAAACTCCCACTTCCCCCACCACACCACTCACAACCCCTTCGTGTGGCACAAGGAGTCAATACTCACTTGGGCAGGTGTAGTCCGGACATTTCTTCTCTGTTAAGAAAATTAGAAAGAGTAATGTCACCAGCTCACCCAGGAAAACCACTTCTCCTATAGCTTCCTATGGAGCCATAGAAGGGACAAACACCTCAGTCACAGCCACATTGTGCAAGGTGTTGTGCAAAGGCTATAAATGTGGACCAGAAAGCACAGAGGTGCGTGCTTGAAAAATGCTGTGGACAGAGATGTCCTGCAGCAGGAGAGTACCTGGACCTGGCTGAAAAATGTTCTGAGACACAAGATGTCCTTGTCCCTTCGTTAACTAAACCTTGAACACTGTTCTCTTCTCTCAGCGCCTGCTTAAGAGCATTACTGGGAGAAGACAAGGGAGGGTGGCCTGCATCCCTCATCCTTTGGCAATCCTCACTACCTTCCTTATTGCCTCCAGCCACAACCTTTCACCCACCTTGGCAGACATATGAGGTGATGTTCTGCAAGAAGGTATCATCCAGGAGCTCAGCATAGTTGTCCCTTTGAATGGACAGTCCTGGCCTGGTTGGTCTGCTTAAACAAGCGATGTCGTTCAGGTGATCTGGATTTGGAGGGTTCCGGAAAATGTCACCTATCCCAAGGGAAACCACCTGCAGGGAAGTTATAGTCCATCACCAGATGCATTCATTATCTAATGCATTCGTAAACTTGAATGCCTGTCACTTTGTGAGAGTGCTTCTAGTGACACATGTACCCCCTACCCTAGCCTTGGGTAGCAAAGACATGGAAGACCCCCAGAGAGCCTGCACTACTCTGTGTGGTAGTTCCCTGCAGGCAGGGTGTTTCCCCTGTGCCCTTACCGGGGTGACATCGCACAGAGAGTTGAGCGGGGTAGGGTCCCGCAGCGTGTCGGAGCGTCCATCTGTGATAACGATGGCAACACGCTTGTCAGAGGTGAATCTCTGCAGCAGGTTTTCCTTGGTGAACTGCAGGGCTTCTCCAGTGTAGGTGCCCCCAGCTATCCATTTCAGGTTCTTGACTGCCCTGCAAGCACAAATACCAGAGAGCCTGCAAGCCCTGCCCTATGGATACGGAAGGAGCCCCTGGGAACACATATCTGACACACTTGTGAGGCAGGGCAACATCCCTGAATGGGGCTTTGGGTGGCAAACTGGCAAACTCCTTGGCCTCGGCACCACCTACAATGCCACCAACCACTACTTTCCACTAAAGAACATTTAGCATCCTTGCATTTGCAAGGAGCTGCTGACCTGGAGATGGAGGATGGGAGGTGAGTAGGTGTCCCTGGGTCAGGTCTCTGCATGATGCACTGAGACCCCACAGACTCACTGTTTGAGTGCCCCGATGTTGTCTATGTTGGCATCCCCCATGGCCACCAGCTCCTGCGTGTTGTCATGGCTGTACTGCACAACACCCACACGGGACTCCCCAGCTTCAAACTGTTGGAAAAACCAGAAGCCAGTTAGGGTCAGATATCTCAGGTGGCCCTGGAGAGCTCAGAAATCCTGCTGATGGTTTGTACTGAACGCCTTCATGGCAGGCCCTGCCGCCTCTCCTCTGCCTTATTCCATGCGGAAGGATCACCAACAGGAATGGATGCACATGGGTACCAATTTGGTGAGCCAGTCAGTGAAACAAGACCCAAACCCAGGTTTCCCGGCTCAGTGGTCTCAACACAAGCCATTGGCCATGGTGGGTGGCAAGGAATAGGTCTTTTTTTGAAAACTTCTGTTTTTCTTCCAACACAGTCATTTTGCTGTCCAGCTTTAGCCTTTCTGCTTGTTATTGGCTCTCTGCCAGCCAAAGAGACCCATGCATGCCCACATGTGTCCAATGGCAGGTCGTAGTGGCTTTACAGCCCGTGTGCTACAGATACGTCTGGTTATACCTTAAGGAAAGACCGGATCCCAAACATCCCTTCCAAATCACAGAGGTAAACGAACTTTGCCATGCACAGCAGGTTACCAGGGAAGTTAGAGTAAGCATTTGTGTCCCTCTTCAGACTGAAAGACTCATTACTGGGACAATATTGCTGGTTTAGGCTGCAAAAGTCCTTTTTATTAGTATGCTTAACTGGCAACCTAAACCTGAGCATGGGGGCAGACAAGGGTGCCTGTGCGGGCTAGCCATCAGTAAGCTAGGGGAAGCTGCAACACACCTCATGTGTTATCTACTCCAGCCACCTGAAAAGCTTATCAGGACAAGGAATAGACTGAGAGACTGATTGATCAGAACGCTTCATGAGCCATCTGCTCTGGGACATGGAAGAAGAGTTCACAGCCACAGCAGGCAGAGTCCCTTTGCCCAGAAAGGGTAAAACATCTGTATTTTGGGACAACAAACTGCTGTCTCATCTCCATCACTTTATGAATCTGGGAGAAATCAAGACCCACCCCAGTTACACACTTGAAACTAAGCCTTGTGGAGGCTCTTTGGAGTGCAGGCATCTCCCTTATTTTTCACTGCAAGCAGAAAAAAGTGAATGCACACAAGTGTATCCCAGCACTCGTGGAAATCTCACCTTAACACGCTCATCCTTGCTCAGGCGGTCAATGACTTTGATGATGAAGTCCTTGGCAATCTGGAAGTTCTGCAGGCCGATGCTCTCTGAGCTGTCCAACACAAACAGGAGGTCGACGGGACCACAGGTGCACTCTGCAACAAGGCACAGGAGCGGAGGGTCTTGTGTTTTTTATCTGAGCAGCTTGCTCAGAGCAGCACATTTTGCAGGGAGGCATACCAAAGCAAGCAGCTGATGTCTGCTGTTAGTCCTTAGACCAAGTGGGTGCCCTATCGACCCGCAAAGCATGGTGTAAAATGAAGTGGCAAAATAGCTGCTTAGGAGACTTGAGAGTCAGTTTACTAATTTTTCCATTTGCATTTTGCTCAGTGTCCCTTATAAGACACATAGCATTTCCAAGCTATGAGTACCCTTAAAACACCCAATTATTCCAAAATTATTCCAAAACCCATTTCCTCATAAGCCTTCTCACTTCTTCCATTCACCCAGCCCAGGAGGACAGAGGTGACATTGGTGGGCTGGAGGAGGCTGACTCAGCTTGCTCCCCTCTTTCCTGTTACTGAAGGACATCATGTGTCCTTGGCTCCTCCTTCAAAGTTTTGGACTGCATCAGAGAGAAAAATCCAGCACATTTCTATGCAGACCAACACAGGATTTGGAAGGAGTAGGACAGAGCTGGATCCACAGCGTGCCCTGAACTGATGTCCCTTTCAACTGCAAAAAGGGTGGAGAAAATCCGCCTGCAGTTTGCTGGCACAGGACACCTCAACAACAGTTTTCCAGTTGTAGGACCCAGCTACACAGTAGCCTCTGAGTCCCCGCAGCACCCTTGGTGGGAGCTCACTGCCCTCCTCTGCCTTGCTCATACTCAGTCCTCCCTCACAGGCTCGCACCATGTCTCCATAGCAGAAAGCAAGGAGCAGGGAAAGGGACGAGTGCAAGCAAGGAGAAGGGCTAGCAAATGTTTGCCGAGCAACTTTGCCAAGTAACACTCACCACAGCAAGCTAGAGGAGAAGGGAGAGAAAGAGAGAATGTTAAAACTCTTGACACAAGGGTTTTTCCACACACTAACGCAGACTGCAGGTTTGTGTTTCTGCAAACCTAGAGGCACCTGGTCTGGACAATTCAAGCTCATGGAGGTTTCCCTCCTGTTTGAAATATCCAGATCTCTCTCCTGTTTCAGATTGTGATGCCCCGACCTGGACCACTGCATGCAGCAGAGCTCTGTTTCTGCACACGCTGATGCATTCTTATTTAAACAAAAATAAAAGCTAATCCTGGAGGGATTAAGTGAATCACCAGAGTATGGAGCTCAACTCAGTTCCCTAAGTACCCTGCGTCCTTCCAGCACTTCGTAACTGGGCCAGAAACCCTTTGCAGCATGTGTGCACTGCTGCTCCCCTGCCAGGATACCCCAGAACAGACCTCCCTTTCCCAAAAGGGAAAGCCAGGCCCTGCTATTTAAGAAAAAAACATTGTAAAATGGTCCACACTAAGATTTTACACAACTTTGCTCGTATTTGCTCTCAAGGGTAATTGTGTATGTACAGAGCCACAGACACAGCAAACCAGTCTGCAGCATGCACAAGTGAAACACAGTTGCACAACCTACCCTAGAGATCAAGCTGGAAGTCCCTGGGTCAAGAGAAGGGACAGCAACGTGAAAAAGATTTGCCTCTTTTGGGTTGCTGTCCCAGCTGCAGGGAGGACCTTCCACCTCTCCCCCCAGCTTGTTGACTTAATTGTGACTCATGGAAGGGGAGCAATGCCCATGGTATCCCTCTGTATGCTGCCAGGGGATGGTCCTGCTTGCTGGGGGCCAGAGAAAAAGCAGCTACCTCCCACTCCCACAGCAAGGAGCCAAGCAGGGCAGGAGGAGTGGTACAGGGATACTCACAGCACATCTTCATGATGATGTCCAAGATTTCACATTCCTGAAAACAGAGGTAAAGAAATGTTTGAGTAACAGTGAAGGCAGCTTCCTGGCTCCCAGGTGCTGCCTGCCACCCCCACTGCTGCTTTGTGCCCTCAAAGCAGGTCCTGATCTGGAAATGAGTGATGTGCAAGTGGGGCACACTACAGAGGGGACTAGCTGGTGATGGACTTACATGAAGGAAATCTGGCCAGTAAGACTCACTGCGACAGCAATGGGGGGCAGTGACCACTCAGCCTGGGAGCAGGAGGCTTCCCCAGCAGTGACCCTCTCCCAGGAGCCATCATGTGGGGCAGGGGAAGCACAGACCAAGCAAGCAAGCAAGCAGCACCCCGATCCTGTCCAACTCACATCTGGTCCTGGAGACCCCACAGGTCCTGGTGGTCCCTGTCAAACAGAAACATGGAGAGACCAGTTACAAGAGCAGATGGTCCTATCTGTGGTGTACTCTGCTGATACCTTGATAAGCAATGCAGAGTATGGAAAGGTCTCTTAGCTTCCCAGTTGCTGCCCCTTGCGCTGGGCTTTTAGCAGGTACATCTGCTTGCTTGTACAATGCCCTTGGGGCAGCACAAGGGTGGGGGGAAGGAGACCCACTTCCACATGTGCCATGCCCACTGAGGTGGGAAGGCAAGCTCTTGCTGCAGGCAGTGAGCACACACACCATGTGTGACATGGCTTGGCATTGCCCCCACCGTACCCAGGGGACGGATGGATGGATTCAGTTTGCTTGGAAGATGCCTCTCCTGTAGCCTCCAGGCCAACATGAGGCAACGCAAGCAAGTGGCAACTCAACACGAACTGAAACACTTTCAGGTTCAGGATGGCCACTGCAAAAGGCTGCTTGCCCTTACTGAACCTGTTCGTATGAGAAAACTTTGCCTATGAAAAAGCACAATTGCCTGTATTTTCTGCCCTGATTTGGGATGAACATGATTTTAGAGACCTGTGTACCAGGCTGCAGCAGTGGGTTTTCAAACCGCCTTGCTCCTGCTGAGGGCAGGGCCAAGCACAGCAAGTCTGCAGCGAGCCCTGCTGTTGGGAGCTCCATCAGCCCAGCACGCTGTGCTCATCGGTGCAAACCCTGCTAGCGTCCTTATTTACCGGGCGGCCTTCAGGTCCCCTGTATCCCTTTGCTCCTTTGAGGCCCCTGGGGCCAGGGGTTGGGTTCTGGAATGAAAACAAAAACAAAATCCACAAATCTGTATGTGTCACGGTGCAGCACCTTCCCCTCCAGACATCTGTGGAGCCCTGCTTAACCACAAAAAATTTATCTGAGATTGCTGTACCCAGCCAAACAAGTTAGGACTTGGGAGGGTTGAGAGGGACACTGGGAAAATCTCCCTCTGCAGGACAGTGGTGCAGCACAGGTGCAACCACTGGTGCTATCTGGAAGCATACAAAACCTTGCAGAGATGATACCTACCTCAACCTAACAGATCTGGAGGTTTACCAGACATAAGCTATAGGTCACAAAGTGACTATCTGGAGAGAGCTTCCCTTGCCATCAGGCACTGCTCAGCGGCAAAGGGCGCTTGCAGACTTACAAAGTCTGAAGAGCTCTGACCCACAGGCAAGGTAGCATTAGAGACCCAGCCCAAAGCTCCTGCACTGTGTTCACAGATAAAGATGATTCAGCTTTATAGAGATTACTCACGTCGTTGCCAGGGTCTCCAGCTTCTCCTTCATCTCCTTTAGGACCAACATAGCCTTTTGTTCCCTGAAAAATGGTACAGAAGGGACTCCTGCATGGACAGCTGTTGTTAGCATGGTGAAGTTGGTGCTGGCATGCAGTGACCTTGTGAGAGCTGGCTAGGGAGGGGGGTGAAGAGCAGTGTATAGGCTCCCTAGCACCAAACTGCAATGCTATTGAGGGAGAGAGCTTCTTAGGTGGCTTTCACTGTTACAGCACCATCCCCGAACTCTGTCTCTGGGGCTGCATCGGAGAGCACTCAGCCCAGGCTGCTGGCCTTGGGTGTTACTACCAGTGCACCAAGGCAGGACACTTCCACCAGAAGCATCCACTGCAGGGAGAGGCGGGCAGAAGCAAAAAAGGGCTTTGGAGGAGCAGGCTGCTTCAGGGAGCCCATTTCACCATGCAGCTGATGGAGAGGCTCTACGAGCCAAACCACCGGCCAGGGCAATTTCTGTTGGGTGTATGAGGAAGCAGCACACTTACGTTAATGCCAGGGTCACCTCTGTCTCCTGGCTGCCCCTGGGGATGAAGGAAAGGAAGCATGTTAGGTCAGACAAGCAGAAATAACAGTCTTACAACTTCAAAGCAGCACAAAAAATTTACCGGGGCGCCTGTGAATCCAATTGTGCTGTTCCCAGGAGGGCCATCCTCCCCCTGGAAACAAAGGGAGAAATATGTGAGATAATGAAAAGCAGATCCCTTAGCGCAGCAGCAGTATCTTGCCCTCCTTAGACAGTTTATCTCCACAGCAAAATGTCTGTGCAAAAAATATGCAGCTGGTGGGTAGGTTGGACACTGGTGCAGGCAGGTAAAAAGGCCATCTTGCTTGTATGTGACTTGCACAGCCACTGAGAGGAGAGTGACACTGCCCCTCTCAGAGACTGGGGATATGGCTGCAGGCTGGGAAGTATCAGGTCTCTGCATATTCAAAAGCAGGCTACTTGCAAATTTTCCCAGCGTCTCAGCTGTGTATGAATGTAATTTCTTTTCTTCCTGAGTTGGATCAAGCTGTGTGGAACCAGCCTGTTGTACATCCTTTCCACACTGCATGCAATCCCCCCAAACAAATACCACTCACCCTTTCTCCCATTAGGCCGGGGTCTCCAGGCAGCCCAGGTGCTCCAGGCAATCCCTTTGGGCCCTGGAAGATGCAGAAGAAGCAGTCAAGCATTGCACACCATCCTTTAAGCTGGGAAGACGATGACTTCTGAGGCAACCAGCTACCATCACAGGAGGTGTTTTGCTTATACTAGAGCAATGCAAAGCCCACAGCTGGGCTTGTGATTCAGCTTACTCCCTGCCCTGAGGATCAAATTTGCTAGCAGATTCAGGTGGCTGCCCTCGGAGAGCAGCTCCCCCAGCTTCTGTGATGGGAAGCCACATGGCTTGTAGTATGGCTATACACTCTCCACAAAATGGCCTCTAGGCGGTGGGGAAGAAGGCAGCCATGGCCTTAAGGACCCATGAAAAATGCCTCAATGTGTCTGCCAGCAAGCTAGCACCTGAGTTTCTACCTACAGTAGGTTTCCAAGATCCAAGGAATTTGGGAACAGCCCTGACAGGCAGCATCTCCTGGTCTTCCCTTCATTCCCTACCCCCAGAAGATGCAGTAATGAAGCAGCACTGACCTCATTGCCACGGGGGCCGTCGTCTCCCCTGTAGCCTTTGGGTCCTGGGGGTCCAGCCTCGCCCTAGGGAAACACAGACAGTTCTCACAACAGGGGCTTTCTCTTGATGCTGCTCCTGCCCTGAAGGGCTGGTCCCTTCATTTCATGATGTGGCGGCTGGGGGCATCTGCCTCTTGCCTCACACCCATCAGTGAGTCACCTCTGTCTTGGCCAACCTCACAAGAAAGGACCTATTGACAGGGGTTAACGCAGGTGTGGAGATGCTTCAGGAGCTGTGCCTGGCTCCTCCCATGCCCTCTAGCCTGCACAGGCCGCAGCTCCCCATGCTTCCTTACACCCTGCTTTCTCTGCAAAGCCCTGTCGGAGGCAGCCCTGGCTAGATCCCTGCTGGGTGTGAGTCAAAACAAGAAGCTTCCTGGGCCAAGGTATGACACTGCAGGCATGGGTTGAACACCAAGTGCTTTCAGTGGCAGCCAGGCTGCGGGAGGGAACACCCTCCGAGCAGAGCCTCCAAGGCCCTAAAAGCCACCCGTCTCCTTCACACCTCAGTCCAGTAACAGAGAACTTGGTGGGGAAGAGGACCAGGGAGACAGGGATGATGCTTTCTAGCAGCAAAGCACAGCTGGGTTGCACAGTGGCATCTCATCGGCTGTGACAGAGGTGTCTCCAGGGCAGAGAACAGTCCTTGATGGGGCACGTCACCCTGAAGGTGACAGAGACCTCCCTCCACAGAGGGGGCCCTCCCTATGCCTCGGGGCTCAGACACGTCTGGGTCGCAGCTGGGCTGGCGGAGGCCCTTTCGTGGCTCTGGGGAGTTTCTGTCCTCAGGAGGCTGCAGAGCCCTGGCAGTGTGTGCTGGAATGGACCAAAGCTGCCACTCTGCCACATCCCATCTGGGCAGTGGCTGCCGCTCCGTCAGCTGCAGGGCGGGCCAGAACCAAGAAAGGAGGAAAAACCAAGAAAGGGAGGAGATTTTTTTTTTTTTTCTCCAAGAGCTCCAATAGACATCCAAAGGAGCCCCTCCACCTTCTGCTTGGTGCCAACAGCCCTTCACAGGGTTTACTTGCCAGGAGATTGGTAATGATGGTGGGTAACAATTGGGTAATGATACTCTTGCCCATGGGTCCAAATGCTCAAGCAAGGCAGCATCTCACATGGAGCTGGGCGTGCAACCAGTCCCCAGGTGATGGAAATGACAGAGGTAGGCAGAGGGAAAGCAGAGAGCAAGGCATGGTGGGAGAGAGCAATGGCTCGGCAATTGGCCCCTCCAGCATCGCTGCTGCAGCCAGCAGGCATGCCAGTTCAAGACTCCCGACCTCTGAAATGTTTCCTGCAACAAGTCATACGACTGCAGTCTCCTGGCAGGCAGAAGGCAGCACTCACTCAATGGTACCTGGGCTTCAGCATTGCAGTGGTGCATGCCCAAGAGGTTCCTCCATATTTTCAGTGCATCAGCAACACCTCTGAGCTTTCTGGGAGGTGCCTCAGTGCAGTGGCTCAGCCTAGCCCAGCTTTGCAGCCTCTCTCTCACCACCCAAAAGCTGAGGAAGCTGAAATCCCCTCTAGCTGTCGCCTCTGCTCCTCTTCGCATGACAGTGGCTGGGAGAAGCTGGTGCCAAACATCCATGCATGCTGCATGCACACTTCTACCAAGGAAAGGTGTACATGTGGGTGCAGAGGACTTAAAAATTACACAGCGCAGTGCAGAGCAGTAAACCGCTCAAAGGCATGTGAGGTAGTGGAGGCCCCATCCCTAGAAACATTCAAGGTCAGGTTGGACGGGGCTCTGAGCAATCTGAACTAGTTAAAGCTGTCCCTGCTTACTGCAGAGGGGTTGGGCTAGATGATCTCTAAAGGTCCCTTCCAACCCAAAGCATTCTATGATGATTCTATGTGACCTTATTTCTGTAAAAAAGCCCAGAAGAGAGAAAGCTGGGAAGGAGGGACAGGAACTCATGATCATTCACATGAGCCAAAGCTGGATCCATGGCACCCTTGGCTCACACTGGCCTTACATGTCCTCACTGTAGCACACAGTGCAAATCCCTCCTGGCCCTGGAGGAGTTTATGAAGATGCAGGATTTTTCGTTGAGAAATCTTTAGCAGCTCCCTATCCACTACCTTTCTGGGTGCAACAGGAACTTCAGAAGGGATAGGCACCATGGCCAGGAAGAGAGAGGGACCACCAAACCTTCCCATGAGCATCAGGAAAAGAGCGTGCTGACCTTTAACTTCTCTCAGATATAAAGAGGATGAAAGTCACAGGTTAGCAGGACCCCTTTCCCCTTGCCAAGAGAAATACACTCCAAAGGCCAGAGCTTGCAGATAACATGGCTTGAAAAACATTTGTGTTTGCCAAAGTCCTACTCTTGCCCAAGCCCAATTATGCATTTATTTTTAATTTGGCCAAGCAAAAGCATTCTTCCTCAGCTTATGGAAGAAACATCCTCGCTTTGCAACTGCTTTTGAAATCTCCCAGAACTGGTGGAAGTGCTGGAGCAGTCTCTGGTCTGGGGAGGCAGTGGAGCTGCTTCTGTAATGCTTCCCTCTCCGACAGGGGTTTGACTCAAGTTCAGTGCTGGGTAGGGAACACTGGTGTTCCACAGGCTCAGTGACAGTAGGAAGACCGTTCTTTCTCCTTTCTCCTCCTCCTCCCCACCAGCAAAGGCTGGCTGGAGGCAGGATCTATCCCAGCCTGGCTGCCCACCATGCTTGCACAACTTCGCCTCCCAGGCTTGCATCAAATCTCCACCTTTACTCTGCTGCCTCCTGTGCAGTCCTTCTCCTGCCTTGAACCTGGAACAAGTGTCTACCACACGGAGAGCAGCTCCAGTCTTTCCTCCTCCACTGGTGTCAGCCTGCAGCACTGGTCCATTACATGCACAGATCCAAAGAGCTGCCTTCCTACCAGAACCACCTCCCAAAATGACATGTCTCACCACAGCAGTGCCCAACAAGTTGGATGCTGCCACATGCTCTTTGGTTGCTGCAGAAGCTCAGCTTGGCTACAGACAGTAGGATCTGGACTATCCTCCTGTGTAAATTTGGTGTTTTTCACTAGCACGAGACAAGCTCAAGGGAAGCCTGACTCCAGGCAAGCACAAGCCTGGCACAAGCATGTCCTGTCCCCAGGCTGCGGCATGGTGCGGGTCTGCCATGGGGGTCACCCACGCTGGGGATAACATCAATGCAACAGTGGCTCCTTCATGGCTGTCCTGCACTCCAGAACTCCTTCAGGGCTTTTCAACACTTGGTCGACCACAAAGGAGTTAAACTGTCTCATCTTTGTCCACACACTGGTCTCCATGCTTCACCCCTTCTGGAAGTCCTGCTCCACCAGTGAGGGAACATTTACCTCAATACTTTCCTGTATTTTGGGCTCCATCAAAACTCGGATAGTATGGGTAGGAGAGGAGTTGTCCCACAGATCCCTGTCCAAGGGTGATATTGAAGCATGCTTACTCAGGCACAAAGGCCCTGTTGGTCATTGCAATCAGTGATATTGCCATGGAGGATTAACCCAGCAACACCTCCAGACCCAGAGTTACCAACTGGGAGCTGAGTACGTCTTTGTGAAGAAAGAGCCTTTAATTGTGCAGGGGACAGAAGCTTTCCTCAGGCTGGGAGTAGCCAGTTCTGCTCTCCAGAAAGCCAATGGGGTCTGAGATCTGTTCCTTGCAGCACACGAGGACAAGCAGACCCCAGACCAGGAGGGACAGACCTTGCAGCAAGTGGACTTGAAGAACATTGGCTTTGGGACAGACTGTCCCTGCAGATGCCAAGGGTGTCAGGGACACTGCTGGGGCCCCATCAGGCTACCTTCACTGACAAGAAGTCTCATTGACTCCCTTGACTGAGGTGAGCAGTGCCTGGCCCCAGGCCTGAACATTTTGTGCGTTGCTGCAGCTTGCACTTGCCAGTTTCCAAATCTGTCAGGCGTGTTGACATCTGTTCCCATGGGACTGGGAAATGGCATGGAGATTGCTCTGTCCCCAGCCCAGCAGCCAATTCTCTATTTTTTTAGCCCTGTTCATATTCAGGGTTCTCCTAGAAATCCCTGCCCCTCTTTACCAGCTTTGTTACCTGGTCTGGAAGATACTGAGAACTTGCCCCAAGATGCTGTGGCATCAGTTAAGCTCCCTACCCCACTCTCCCCACTGACCCAACCACTTCCACCTGGGATCCAGAAGGTTAATCCAAGCTCTTACCTGGTCGCCAGGTGGCCCGAGGGGTCCTTCCCGCCCTTGGTCACCAGGTGGTCCAGGCTCTCCCTGAAAAAAACGCACACCAAGGGCATGAGAAACTCAAAGAGGGACAGGCATAGGGTGCAAAGGGCTCTGCGTGCAATGGGGAGCAGGGATGCAGTACTGATAGCACATGCTGGATAGAAATGCAGTCATCCAAACAGGGAGGTTTTTGAAGCAGATTCAGGAGTTGGGTAGGAAACTCTCAGAGGTGTGGGGAGAGAAAGATGGGCCAGCGTGGCCACCTCGAAACCAAAGAAGATAGCCCTAAGAGGAAGACCTTCTGAAGGATGGGAGTGCTTGCCTCTGGGTGACCTGTTTCAGCCCATTTTTGCCAGAAGAGTAAATGCCTGGAGAGATCCATCTTGCAAGGCTTCTGCAGATACACAGACCTGGCCCCAGCCCCAAAACAGCGTAGTGGCTTTTCCCAGCCACATTTTGCAATCATGGCTGCTTCTCTAGAGAGAATGAGCCAGCAGATGGGGAGGGATGTCCTCACCTCTCAGTGCTGACGCTCTCCCCTCTCCTTTGCTGACACTCAACACCCTGAGCCAGGTGTTAGAGCTGTTTGCAGAGAACTGACAGCCCAGGAGAGCCTGGAAAACCTGAGTCTGGGTGGTTTTGCACCCCAACAGCTCCAATAGAAGGAAACACCCAAGGGCTGGACACAGCTCAGTTCCACTTTCACTTAACCAATGTGGAAAGGGACAGCCTTCCACCAGTCCAACAGAGCTGTGTCCCAACAGGGCAGCATGTCTGCCAGACCCAGGCTGCCTCCAGGTCACCTTCCCCATTCTAGACCCATGGCCAGGAGCAAGCAAGCCAGTGAGGTAAAAGGAGAGCCAGGAGGCATGGCCCCCCATCCCTGCAGCCCGAGGGCTTGCTGCAAGTTCCTGACAATTCAGAAGAAAGCTTTCCCCCTTGCAAAGTGGAGTGTTACCCCTTAAAGGGCTATACGACAGCTAAGCGCCGAACTTTGCAGCTTACAGCCAAGCCACCCCTGAGATCAGCCAGCACCAAGTGCTGCAGGACAAGTATCTTTGCATGAGGTCCTGCTCAGCCTGCAGCCCTGGGACATGGGACCAGACAGTCCTCAGCCTGCAGGGAAGGGAAGTGTTCAGAAACTTCCTGTGACAGTCACACCTGAATTAAAGGTTTGAGGGAAGTGGCTGAAAGCTTGGCGATCTAAAGCTGTTGTTTGCAAGCTAGAAGCTTCCAGATGCCTAAGCCAAACAGTAAATACAAAACACAACTTCCAAAGGGCCCTGAGAGCCAGTGGAGACATTTCTGGCAAGGTTATGCAGCCTCGTGCTTGGACTAAAACTTGGAAGCCACCCATCGTCTGCTGAACAATTTAACTCCAGGACACTGGTGTGCCTTCATCTCCTGCACACATCTGCCCCGCACACCACATGCGGAGGCACTGCTGCTCCCTGAGCGGTAAACAGGAATGGGGAGGCTGCCAGCAGCACCCTGCCAGAGCTGCCCGCTCCCCAGGGCAGACCTCTGCCCCCCCTTCTGAGCTGGTGGTGGGTACTGGCTGTCCTTACTGCAGGGACAGGGGAA